GATTGTCTCTTGCGCTATAAAAGCAGAGGAACAATTGCTACCATCCTTAATCTGGACCAAAATATCAGACCAAATGTGCCATTATTGTGCATTACATAGAAAGATCATAAAATTTTAGAGTTGGAATAGATTTTTGAGTTCCTCTGGTCCAATCCCCTGACAAGGGAAGAAATATTAAACCCTTGACAGGTGACCATTCTGACATGGCTTCAGCACCTCCAGCAAAGGAAAATCTACCACTTTTGCAGGCAGTTTGTTCCACTGTTGAATAACTCACACTGTTAAGCAGTTTCTCCACATATTCAGCAGTCTCCTTCCCTGTCATTTCAATCCTGCACTGTCTTCTGCATTTGAGCCATACAAATAATTAAAAACAGTTACCATATCATAACTTCATGCATCTCTTCTTTCCAGGTGCATAAGAGCATCTCTGCAAATCCACACATTCTCTTCTCATTCCAACCCTGGACTTTGCATGTATATTTATCTTCTAGATTACTCAATTCAAAGCAACCGTCCAACCCTTTCATTCTCTGCTCTGGCCATTCGTTATTCTCCTACTTAGATATTCGTTGCCCTACTAGCTGGCACTGTTGGGAACTGTAGCCTAGCATGTACGAAGGGAAACTGGCATTCTTATTGCCTAAATGTAAATTAGAACGCTTATATACTTTTATACATTAAGATCATAAGAATAGCCCTGCTGGCCCATCTCAGGCATTTTCTCATAGCGGCCAACCAGATGCCCCTAATGTTAGGTTTACACTTAAGTAGGCACGAGACACAGACATACTCCCCTCCCGCTGTTACTCCCTTGCAGCCGATATTTAGCCCCAGACCCACAAGTCATGTTCAATCTCCAAGGCCAATAATCCTGGATAGATTTATCCTTCATGAATTTTAAACCATTCAAGTTATTGGCCATGACCACATTTTCTGGTGAAACATTTCCCTAGGTTATTTGTGGGGTGTGTGAAGAAGCGCTGTCTTTAGTTTATTCTAAACCACCTTCCCCATGGATGGGTGATGTGGCAAAAGAGTAAACAGAATGCGCCTGTGGGACTCTTCTCCAACACCCCAAATGGGTCGGAAAGACCGGCAGAGGGCCAGCCGGGCAGGGAGGCAAGACTCCCCGCAGTGAATATAACACCGCCATCCTCTATAAAGTTAGTCGAAACTTTCACACGTCCCCGCACCCCACCCTGTTGCTCCCGCCCACTCGCTAGCTTTTCCACTCCCGCCAGAACCCCACCCGGCCCCCGCGGCTGCTGCGGGCTAGGAAGAGCCGCCCACCTGGTGAAGAAGGCGGGCGAGCAGCCTTGGCGGGCTATCTCCGTGCCGGCGGCGGGCGCTGCTCTGCTGAGATGGGCAGGGAAGAGGCTCTCCCGGCACCTCCTGGC